GTCCACATTCACTTCAAGCTCACATGGCACATATTTGAAGATAGACCACATGCTGGGACACAAGTCTAACTTGAGTAAATTCATGCACATAGAGATTAGACAGATGTCTCTCTCTGTTCACTGTGCCGTAAGGCCAGAAATTAACAGAAGGATGGTGAAGAAAACTAAGGAAAACACATTATATGGCCACAGTATTCAAAACAGTGTGGTAATGGTATAACCACAGATATTCAGACCAATGGAAAAGAGCTGAACACCCAGAAATAAAAATATCAGCATATAGGCACAATGGAAATAGATTTGGCGATTTCTAAAACAGATGGAAAATGAGCTACCATACAACCCAGCAATCCCCCTACTGGGCATACACCTAGAAGGGGCAGGAAACAAACCATGGCCAGACATCTGTGCTCCAATTTTCATTGCAGCACAGTTCACAGTCACAAGGAGATGGAACAACCCAAATTCCCATCAAAATGAATGGATTAAAAAAACTGTGGTACATACATACAATGGAGTACTACACATCGCTAAAAAGCAGTGATGAACGCATGAAGCATATCACTGCATGGGAAGAACTGGAGGAAATTATGCTAAGTGAAGTAAGCCAAGCCCAAAGGACAAGTACAACACGAGTCAGCTGAGGTAAGTTTATAAAAAAGAAAAATGCAAAATGGGCACAGGGAAAAAGCTACTGTATACAAACACTCCAGGGGTAAGGTCCAGGTAGTATGGCAGGGGCAAGACCAAATCCAGGGGTAAATATGGTAGCCAACTAAAAAGTAGGGAGGGGGGGGGAGAAAGGGGGGGGAAAAAGAGAGATGTGTGGCAGGGGAATAGGGCACTGACCCACCCAAGGAGAAGGTATTGTTTGTGTCTCCACAGGGAAAGAGGGATCAGCCTTAAATACAGTGTTCTGGGATAAGAATGCAGTGTGCCAGCATGGATAAGGGAGCCAGTGAAGGGGCCTGAGGGCTCAGCCCCTATCCCAGCTACATGGACAACTGCCCCACCACCCCGAATAATTTACTTTAGAGGAAGCTGCAGCTAGGGGAGAGGGACACATCTCATCAGAGTACACGGGAGCAAATGAATGGGGAGGAAGAAAGAGTGGAGCACATCCCTGCCCATCAGGTCTAGAGGATGATATTCCTGCTCCAAACAGCCAATGCACACAGTGGACCGTATGTCTGATCCCACTATGAGACACCACATTCCTCGCTGATCCATGGCCCTGCAGGGGACAACACTGGAGACTCAGTGTCAGGATTGACCCGCTCTGACCCCACCACACCCAGGCAAAACAAGGGCATGTGGCAGAGAAACAGGGGGAGCAGAGCAGGGAGCTCCTGAGGGAGAGCAAAGGATAGACTTCGGGGCCAGAGCTTGGCACCCCATCGGACTCGACTGGAAGACACGCCTAGAGGTCATAAACCAGACCTTGATCTATTTACAGATTTTTCTCTTTTCTTTTAAACAAAATTTTATTCTTTTAAAAATTAATTTATTATTTTCTTGGTCATTGGTTTTCTTTGTTGTCATCGTTATGTTCTTTTGTCTTTGTCTTGCTATGCCTTGTTTTTTGGTGCATATTATTATCTCTACAGATCTATCTAGATAATATAGGCTGGATGAACAGTCTGGAGGAGAAAACAATGGGACCGATGGT